ATTCCTACTCAGGAAATTGAAAACAGTTAAAAAATATATCTCAGATATACCTGTGGTTAAGACCTCTGTTCCTCTGCTTAAAACTTTCAGAAAGTCTGGAAATAATGAAGTTCTGTGCAGAGGACTCAAAGACTAACAATTTAATTTTGAATCCTGCCTGCTCTACTTACTATTAGCTTATTTTTGGGAAAGTTCTTAGTATCTCTAAGACTTAAGATTGTCATATGAGTTGGTTCCTAGTTGATACAACTCCACTGAATAAGAATTAAACAAATAATGGATGCCCTCTCCGTGATAAATATTTGATGAATGCGTAAAGCAAGGGCAAAATAAATTTTAGATATTTTATTACTAATAATGATAAGAGTAATTCTCATGTCATTTGACTTAAATATCTGGTGATCTAAAGTTATGGTTTTTCTACATCCCTGACAGGACATTTTACTATTGTTTATACAAGTACATTCTTAGTATAGGAAGAGCAATGACTGAGTCTTATTTATTTCTGTTTTCCAGAGCCTCTAACTTCTTGGCACAGAGGAGGCATCAAAAACAAAAAAGTCTCAGTTAAATATTGACTACACCCTTCTATTGTTCATTGAAACAACATGTGTACAATACGGCTTCCACATATTTGTCTGTTCATGCCTTTTCTGGAATGTCCCACAGGACTAGAGACAAGATAAAATATTGCTTTGTTTGTGTCTGTGTCATGGACTTTCTATGGGATCAATTACTTTCCATTTAATAGTATCTATAACATTCAATCGCTGAAAAATTATTGCAGAGATTTTCACAAACATATAAAGAAAAGAGGCAGAAATGAAGAAAGTGGTAAATCTTGTTGCATGGGCTCAGACACATTCTAGGATTTCACGTCATTCCCTGCTCCAGTGTGCTGAGACAGGAGAAGCTTTGACTTCTCTGCCATGTAATCCATAAAACATCATTAAATTTTTGCAATTGTTTTTCATTGCTAAATATTCTATTCTAATAATGATTGAAATTTTTTATTAAAAAATTGACCAAATATTTATTGAGTTCCAAATTTCCCTTAGGTTTACACATATTCCAGAGATGGGTGTTAGACTCTCCATTTCCAAGAAAAAACGGAAGCACAGAGAGGTTGAGAGATTTACACACCCTCCTCATATAGCAGGTAAAAGATTCAGGACTCAAACATTGATCTCCTTGTCCCTGCACCCTTCTCTGTCGGCCCCACTGTAGCTACTGCATAATTCTTTCCAAACCTACTTTGGTCCCACATGAGCAAGTGGAGGTAAAAGAATTGATTCATCGTCTTTTCATTCAGTGAGTCCACCTGTGGATTATGGATGTGAGCCAGTGGTTTATAGGGTCAATAATGGCATTAATGTGGTGGATTATAGGGTTTTCTATGAATAGTCATGCACTTTACAGTCAGTTTTGATATCTCAGATTGAAAATATTTCCTATACGAGAGAAAAGTTTCATATGGATTTATCATGGAATAATTATCACAAGAGAGACTTCGAGGATATTTTCAGTGGTATGCGTACCTTAAGAGTAAGAGAATGTAAAAGAAAGTAAAAGAAAATGATTTTTGTAGTAGGACAACAAATATAGACAATTACTAGTAAAATTTCACATGCATCAATTGTTAGATGTTAAAAAACTAATCCCCACTCACCTATTGTACACAAATTCTCACTTGTGTGATATAGAGATGGGCACAAGAATATTCATAGGATTGTTGTAAGAAGAAAGTGATATAAATAATAATATAATATAAGTATAAAATATATAATGTAAAATAAATATTTATTTAACACGAATAAGATAAATTAGGGGCCGGCCCCGTGGCCGAGTGGTTAAGTTCGCGCACTCCACCTCGGCGGCCCGGGGTTTTGCCAGTTTGGATCCTGGGCGTGGACATGGCACTGCTCATCAAGCCATGCTGAGGTGGCATCCCATATTCCACAGCTAGAAGGACCCACTCTACTATATACAACTATGTACTGGGGAGATTTGGGGAGAAAAAGCAGAAAAAAAAAAGATTGGCAACAGTTGTTAGCTCAGGTGCCAATCTTTAAAAAAAATTATAAATATTAGATTATAAATATACATTTTAAATTTGCTAATTTTTAATTAAAATACATAAATATAAACTAATAAACTGAATAAAATGATGTCTTCCCTTATGTAATAATGTACATCAACAAAATGTTTGAAGTAGTTGTATGTACTTCACAAAGAGACTTAAACACCATGTTGTGGTAAACAAGTACATTTCAGAGGCAACGTGTAGTACACTGTTTAGGTAAGTTTTTAAGAAAACTGGCTATGGATATATAAATTAATATTGACATTATACAAACATGACAAGAAAATATACCCATCAAATTCACGACACTGGTTGCCTTTGCGGGACAGGTATGCAGAAGAATGAGAATGAGCTGAGGTACCAGAAAAAGTCAAATTTTATCAGTAATGGTTCAAATCTCTATAAAATATGAGATGAAGCAAATATTATTAAATGTTTATATTTTTGGTATCAGTTGTGGGTATTGATGATAGTAATAATAGGTAACATTAATGGAGCATTTTCTAAGTGTTGGGACATATTCTAAGACAGTGTTTATCAATCCCAGATGCATGTTAGGATGAGCAAGAACCTCATGTGTAGAGGTCTTGAATAAATCGGTTCTAGGCTAAGGCTATGATATCCGTATATTTTAAAATAATCACAGGTAAATATATCAATCAGCTGGAACTGAGAACCACTGATCTAAACAATTTAACTGTTTTCTTAAAACTTTCTTACAATATTTCTATAAGGTATGTTCAATTATCCCAATTTTACAGATAAGGAAACAGCTGAGAAGCATTTATATTATTCTACTTTTGCATGTTTTTCTCAATTAAATCATAGTGTGACCTGCCAAAATAATAACAATGAATTACCTTCAGGTAGTTGAAATAAGAAAATTGCAGTCCCTGTATCAGGAAGGATTAAATGAAAATCTGTTAACTAGACATAAGAAGGCTGGGTCTTAAACCTGTGGGACCTCCCCTGGTGCTGAACTCAACTGTAAATAAGAGGGCTTATGATCAGAAAAACAAGACCAACATGTGTCTGAAAAGTGCTCAACATCACTAACCATCAGGGATATGCAAATAAAAATCACAATGAGATTTCACCTCACGTCTGTTAGAATGGCTGTGATTAAAAAAAAAAAAAGACTAGTGTTGGTGAGGATGTGGAGAAAAGGGAACCCTAGTGCACTGTTGATGAGAATGAATATTGGCACAGCCATTATGGAAAACAGTATGGAGGTTCCTCAAAAAGTTAAAAACTACTACTAATTAAAATGGAACTACCATATGATATAGCAATCCCATTTTTGGGTACATACCCAAAGGAAGTGAAATCAGTATCTCGAAGAGATCGCTGCACTCCCATGTTCATTGCAGTATTATTTGCAATAGCCAAGATATAAAAATGACTGCTGTCTAGTTGACAGAGGGATGGTTAAAGAAAATGTGATATATATATATGCATATATATGTATGTGTATATATATATTCATATCCACATATGCACACACTAGAATGTTATTCAGCCATAAAAAGAAGGAAATCCTACCATTTATGACAACATAGATGGACCTAGAGGACATTATACTTATTGAATTATGCTAGAAATAGAAAGCCAAATACTGTATGATCTGACTTACATGTGGAATCTAAGAAAACCAAATTTATAGAACCAAGGAGTAGAATTGTGCTTGTCAGGGGCTGACGGGGGGAAATGGGGAGATGTTGATCAAAGGGTACAAACTTTCAGTTAGAAATGAATAAGTTCTTGGGATCTAATATACAGCATAGTGGCTATAGTTAATTATTATGTTTTGAATACTTGAAATTTGCTAAGAGTAAATCTTAACTGTTCTCACCATACACAAAAGATGGTAAGTGTGTGAAGTGATGGATGTGTTAATTAATTTGGTTGTGGTAATCATTTAATATGTGTATTAAATCATCACACTGTACACCTTAAAAAAACCTTTATATTGTACCTCCTAAATGTAGACAATTTTTATTTGTCAATCAAACCTCAATAAAGCTGGAAAAAAATAAACAAGGAAACAAGATTATCAGGCCACTACTCAGAGTAGAGACCAAAAAAACAAAGAGTGGTTTCATACACAGGACCTTTTACTGAGATTGTATGGGGTTGATACAAATGAAACTGTGTAAAATAAAAAATTTTGAGAGTGTTTCTCAAATTTCATTATTGTTTAGTAGTTCACAGTTGCTTTGTACGCTAACATCTTGATAGTCGTCAAACTATATAATTATGTGCACTTAACTGAACCATATTTACCAAATTTGAAGTCCACCAAAGCCAAACATAGGAATTATATACTAAATGACACCTAACAGACAACCCTCATATTTGAGCAATCACTATTTCCATGAAGGAATGAAGACAGAAAACCAAAAAGGATAAAACTCCTGAAGATAACTATGAAAAAATACTTTCTGAATATGAACATTCAACTTCAATTTAGAATCCAGAATACACAGTCCTGCCTTTTATGGAGTGTTTTAATAAATATTCCAAATGAAGGGAATATCTAGCATTGTATTTGAATAAAATAAGGTATATTTAACTACTTCTTAATTTCTTTAAGTTCAAATGATTTTTTTTTCTTAAAGGGTCAAGGGTATTTATTATTCTATGTTTTTTTTCTTGAAGTAGGCTGTATTTTACTGTGATCATGGATTTATCTCAAATGTTTTTGCTCATCTGATACTCTTCAGTCGAGTGTCTTCAAAGTAAGTTTGTATAGAAAGAGATGAATAACACAGAAACCAATGAGAAAACAGTTCTAGGAAAATTGGATTTGAGACACTGAGAAATATAGTTGAAGGTACTGGGGTGTATTACCTCACAAGTGAATTGCTTAAATATGTGTCCAAAATATGGACACACTGCTGGGTGTCCATTTGCTTGTTTCCTTTCTTCCAACTCTTTTTTCTTGTTCCAAAGGTATCCAAGATACACAGAACCACAGAATCTAACAACTGTCACAGAATTCTTTCTCGTGGGACTCTCAGATGATCTGGAATGGCAGCCTTTGCTCTTTGGGCTGTTCCTGTTCATGTACCTGGTCACCATCTTTGGGAACCTGCTCATCATCCTGCTAGTCACCTTTGACTCCCACCTCAATACCCCCATGTACTTCTTCCTCTCCAACCTGTCCTTGGTTGACATTGGTTTCATCTCTACCACAGTCCCCAAGATGATTGTGGACATCCACACTCACAGCAGAGTCATCCCCTATATGGGCTGCCTGACACAGATGTCTTTTTTGATCCTTTTTGGATGTATGGATGGCATACTTCTGACTGCAATGGCATATGACCGGTTTGTGGCCATTTGTCACCCTCTGCACTATTCAGTCATCATGAACCCATGCCTCTGTGGCTTCTTAGTTTTGGCATCTTTTTTAATTAGCCTTTTGGACTCCCAGCTGCACTATTTGATTGTGTTACAACTTACTTGCTTCAAGGATGTGGAAATTTCTAATTTTTTCTGTGACCCTTCTGGACTCCTCAAACTTGCCTGTTCTGACATTTTCACCAATAACATAGTCATGTATTTTGTTGGCACCATCTCTGGTTTTCTTCCTATCTCAGGGATCTTTTTCTCTTACTATAAAATTGTTTCCTCCATTCTGAGGGTGCCTTCATCAGGTGGGAAGTACAAAGCCTTCTCCACCTGTGGCTCTCACCTGTCAGTTGTTTGCTTATTTTATGGAACAGCTATTGGAGTTTACCTTGGATCAACATTGTCACCTTCCCCCAGGAAAGATGTTACAGCCTCGATCATGTACACCATAGTCACCCCCATGCTGAACCCCTTCATTTACAGCCTGAGGAACAGGGACATCAAGAGTGCCCTGTGGAGACTCTACAGCAGACTAATCTAATCTCAGTATGTGCGCAATCCTTTCTGGAGTGTGGGTTGGAAAAATCAGCAAAACCAAACATGCAGACCAGTGAATACTGCTTCCTTGATCGCATTATTTTTTCATTCTCATGGTTTTCATTCCTCTCCATGTTTCATATATGAATATTACTTCTTTTGATTCATCTTTAATTGGATTGAGGGAGTGTTCTGGGACCCTGTGTGCATCATAATGAATGCATGAGAGGTTCTCTTCATTGCCTCTGGTATCCAGGTGAAATGCACGACTCTTTTGTCATATGCTTAAAATTTTCATCCTTTTCCATGGTTTCTGTGACTGTTCCATCAGAATTTTGCATCTGTCAAATCTATTTATTCAGGTAACACCTGACGATGCAGTTCACTGGTCTTCAATCATGGATTTTACTGGAATCCCCTGGTGGAGTTTTATAAATACTGATGACTGGGTCTCATCACCAGAGATTCTGATATAGTTGGACTGGTTCGTGTCTAGGTATGAGGGTTTCTTTTAAATCATCTGAGATGGTTCAGTTGTGATTTCTGAAAGAGATCAAGCTCATAAAGTTTAATATATGAAATAGCTTATTGTAGCTCCTGGCAATGTGGTTTTTCCAAATGTTTTCTTAAAATACGTTGTCCTTCAATGCCATAAAATTTTCATTTGTGCTGATTATTAAGCTATTGTATCTCTGCTCAAAACTCACCCTTCTATACTTGTTTTGGTGGTCCCAGACTGGGTCTCTTGAAATCACTGCTCTGGCTTTCTTGTTACGTACTTTTAATAATGCCCAGTAAATTTCACTAGACTCTAAAGTTAAGTTCACTACTTCCTTTACACCCCTAAGCCCTTGGGCTTTATTGGCTTCCATCTGGAACCACAATGTTCCATTTTTGCCTTTGTCTTGCAGTAGCTATTTAACCAACTCCTTGAACTCACTTCTCTTCATTGAAATAGTTTGCTTGATTTCTTTTTTCTTCACTGAACCCTGAAAGATAAATCATAACATGGAGAGAAAATATATTATGAGTTCTGTGTGGCTGGAGTATTGAAAAATGAGCTAATAAAGTAAAAGTGGTTTTAAATATATATCTTTGTTAAGAGTGTACAACTGAAATTTAAGTACTGGTAACATATTTCCAGTTGATGTGTGGCTCTAATAGTGTCTGAGGATCATTAAATCACAAATTTCATCATAAATAAATTGAATTTTGTCTTTCTTTTCTTTACCCTATGCAGGAAAGGTCCACGTTGTAAGCAAAGGTGAACTCTTTCCTTTTCCTAGTAGCGGTCTGGTTAGGACTTCACCTTATTACCATGCTTCCTTGACTTCTGTTATGGTAACTCACTCTTTGGGGTCCGTTTTTCTTCTTGAAAATGAATATCCATGTTTCCCTGGAGATGTCACACATAGTTTTTGGGTAGTGATATTGGTTCTTTGAAAACCTGTCCAACAACTAGTTTAATTTATTCTGCTGTTTTATTTCTAAAGTAAATCACCTATGAACTTCATTGATAAGGAACTTTGATGTTGGAGAAAGAAATGAACTTGAGAGATGATGAAGCCAGAGCAGTTAGTGGGAAAATATCACCCAATAAAAATTGCTGCAATTCTACATTTGCATATCCATTTTTGCAAGTCTGTGTGATAGCTAAAGGACCTTGGTAAGTGGGAAAGTATGTTGTCTTTTGATATCAAATGGTGATTCTCCCCAGTGTAACACTCTGGATTTTTTAAAAGATTTAGAGTTAGATTAGAAGAGTGCTGTTGATGGGTTAACACTAAGTTTGGTGTGACGATGCTTGATTAGAATAGGAAACACAGATAATAGAATGTGGGATATGAAGACACTCCACTGCCCAGATATTGACCCCCAAATTTAAAGCTTTTGGCAACTCAAAGTTCCTTTCTGAGCCTCCAAATCCTCAGCAGCAAATTAAATGCAATAGTGCTTACCTTCGAAGGCCATGCAATAATTACATATAGTTGCATCATGGACCAGTGAAATAGCAGTTTCCCAGTCAAATGCTAAATCCTATAGTAACATTAAGGAAGTTAATTTAACAAGCATTCCAGTAATTCATAAGTAACCTGATGTCACAAACTGTGTAACTTTAAGTATCATAATAACATTTCTATTTAAATTCCTCATCTGTAGAGTTATGGTAACAAGAGCACTTAATCGAGGCTGGCTGAAAAGATATTACCAAATGAACTGAATAAACTATTGTTTGGTATATAGTAGTGGATAATAAGAGCAAACTATCATAATCAATAATTAATAGGCTAGTGCATAGTTTCAACATATGGACTTTGGAGGCTAAAATTTGATTTGCAACATCTGCTCCTCTAACTTATTACCTGAGTACATTGAGATATATTTTTATAACTCTCATAGCTTCTAATGCTTCATTTTTAATAATATTTGGCTGAAAGCACCCTAGAATTAAACAGACAATATGCACATGGTAAGAACTAAGTAAATGTAGATGTCGTTATCATCATTATCTCCTCTAAGGCTGACGTATTTCTTTTTTCAACTTTACTGAGATACAACTGATATATAACATTGTGTAAGTTCAAGTGCAATGTGTTGACTTGATATGCTTGTACGTTGCAAAGTGACTACCACCATAAAGTTAGCTAACACTTCCATCACATCACATAATTACCATTTCTTTTTTATTGTGAGAACATTTAAGATATATTCTCTTAGCAACTTTCAAGTATATAACATATTATTGTTAGCTGTAGTCGCCATACTCTACATTAGATCCCCAGAAATTATTCATCTTATAATTGGAAGTTTCTACCCTTTGACCAACATCTCCCCATTTCCCCCACCCACCATCCCCTGGCAACCACCATTCTACTCTTTGTTTCTAAGGATTTGGCTCTTTTAGGTTCCACATATAAGAGATATCATGCAGTGTTTATCTTTCTCTATCTGACTTATTTCACTTATCATAATCCCCTTGAGTGTGTCCTGTGCCTAGTGACTTGCTTCCAACCAATGCAACATGACAGAACTGATGAGATATCACTTTTGAGATCTGAGTACAAAAAGACTCTGGCTTTCATCTTTCCGGCCGTTGTTTCTCTGTTACCTGTCTGCTTGTTTTGATGGAAGCCAACTGCCACGTGTGAACTTCCCCATGAGAGACCCATGTGGCAGAGAACTGAGGAAGGCCTCTGGCCAATACTCCACAAAGAACTGTATCCTTCCAAAAGCCATGTGAGAGGGCATGGGACAGGTCCTCTCTGAGTCAAACTTTGAGGTGACTGCACACCTAGCTTACATCTTGATTGCAGTCTTGTTAGACACCGTGGTTTATTTAAGAGAAGTCGTAACTTATAATAAGAACATAAAAGTCAATAGTTTTCTTTTTTTTATTGTTATTGATAGGTTACAATCTTGTGAAATTTCAGTTGTACATTAATGTTTGTCAGTCATGTTGTAGGTGCACCAATTCACCCTTTGTGCCCACCCCCCACCCCACCTTTCCCCTGGTATCCACTAAACTGTTCTTATTCCATAATTTTAAATTCCTCATATGAGTGGAGTCATACACAGATTATCCTTCTCTCGCTGGCTTATTTCACTTAACATAATTCTCTCAGGGTCCATCCATGTTATTGCAAATGGAATGATTTTGTTCTGTTTTACAGCTGAGTAGTATTTTATTGTATATATGTACCACATCTTCTTTATCCATTCGTCTGTTGCTGGACACTTAGGTTGCTTCCACGTCTTGGCTATTGTAAACAGTTCTGCAATAAACATTGGGGTGCATAGGACTTTTGGGATTGCTGACTTCAAGCTCTTTGGATAAATACCCAGTAGTGGGATGGCTGGATCGTATGGTAGTTCTATTTTTAGTTTTTTGAGGAATCTCCATACTGTTTTCCATAGTGGCTGCACCAGTTTGCATTCCCACCAGCAGTGTATGAGGGTTCCTTTTTCTCCGCAACCTCTCCAACATTTGTTGCTATTAGTTTTAGATATTTTTGTCATTCTAACGGGTGTAAGGTGATATCTTAGTGTAGTTTTGATTTACATTTCCCTGATGATCAGCGATGATGAGCATCTTTTCATGTGCCTATTGGCCATCAGTATATCTTCTTTGGAGAAATGTCTGTTCATGTCTCCAGCCCATTTTTTGATTGGGTTGTTTGATGTTTTGTTGTTGAGTTGCGAGAGTTCTTTATATATTATGGATATTAAGCCTTTGTCAGATATATGACTTGCAAATATTTTTTCCCAGTTAGTGGGTTTTTTTGGTTTCAATCCTGTTTTCATTTGCCTTGAAGAAGCTCTTTAATCTGATGAAGTCCCATTTGTTTATTCTTTCTATTGTTTCCCTTCTCTGAGAAGTCATGGTGTCCGAAAAGATCCTTTTAATACTGATGTCAAAGAGTGTACTGCCTACATTTTCTTCCAGAAGCCTTATGGTTTCAGGTCTCACCTTTAGGTCTTTGATCCATTTTGAGTTTATTTTGGTGAATGGTGAAAAAGAATGGTCAATTTTCATTCTTTTACATGTGGCTTTCCAGTTTTCCCAGCACCATTTGTTGAAAAGACTTTCTTTTCTCCATTGTATGCCCTCAGCTCCTTTGTCAAAGATAAGCTGTCCATAGATGTGTGGTTTTATTTCTGGGCTTTCAATTCTGTTCCATTGATCTGTGCACCTGTTTTTGTACCAGTACCATGCTGTTTTGATTACTGTAGCTTTGTAGTATGTTTTGAAGTCAGGGATTGTGATGCCTCCCGTTTTGTTCTTTTTTCTCAGGATTGCTTTAGCAATTCGGGGTCTTTTGTTGCCCCATATGAATTTTAGGATTCTTTGTTCTAATTCTGTAAAGAATGTCATTGGGATTCTGATTGGGATGGCGTTGAATCTGTAGATTGCTTTAGGTATAATGGACATTTTAACTATGTTTATTCTTCCAATCCATGTGCATGGAATGTCTTTCCATCTCCTTATGTCGTCATCCAATTCTCTCAGAAAGGCCTTCTAATTTTCATTATATAGGTCCTTCACTTCCTCAGTTAAATTTACCACAAGGTATTTTATTCTTTTTGTTGCGATTGTGAATGGTATTGTATTCTTGAGTTCTTTTTCTGTTGGTTCATTACTGGAGTATAGAAATGCTGCTGATTTATGCAAATTGATTTTATACCCTACAACTTTGCTGTAGTTGTTGATTACTTCTAACAGTTTTCCAATGGATTCTTTGGGGTTTTCTATATATAAGATCATGTCATCTGCAAACAGCAAGAGTTTCACTTCTTCCCTCCCTATTTGGATTCCTTTTATTCCTTTTTCTTGCCTGATTGCTCTGACCAGGACCTCCAGTACTATGTTAAATAAGAGTGGTGATAGAGGGCATCCTTGTCTCGTTCCTGTTTTCAGGGGGATGGCGTTCAGTTTTTGCCCATTGAGTATGATGTTGGCTATGGGTTTGTCATATATGGCCTTTATTATGTTGAGGTAGTTTCCTTCTATGCCCATTTTGTTCAGAGTTTTTATCATAAATGGCTGTTGGATCTTGTCAAATGCCTTCTCTGCATCTATTGAGATGATCATGTGGTTTTTATTCCTCAGTTTGTTGATGTGGTGTATCACGTTGATTGATTTGTGGATGTTGAATCATCCCTGTGTCCCTGGTATGAATCCCACCTGATCATGATGTATGATTCTTTTGATGAATTGCTGAATTCTGGTTGCCAAAATTTTGTTTAGAATTTTTGCATGTATGTTCATCAGTGATATTGGCCTGTAGTTCTCTTTTTTCGTGGTGTCCTTGTCAGGTTTTGGTATCAGCGTGATGTTGGCCTCATAGAATGTGTTAGGAAGTGTTCCATCTTCCCTAATTTTTGGAATAGCTTGAAAAGGATAGGTATTAAATCCTCTCTGAAAGTTTGGTAGAATTACCCAGGAAAGCCATCTGGTCCTGTGGTTTTTATTCTTTGGGATGTTTTTGATTGCTGTTTCAATCTCTTTCCTTGTGATTGGTCTGTTCAAATTGTCTGCCTCTTCTTGAGTGAGCTTTGGGAGATTGTAGGAGTCCAAGAATTTATCCATTTCCTCTAGGTTATCCATTCTGTTGGCATATAGTTTTTTGTAGTATTCTCTTATAATC